CTTTACTCTTTCATAATATATTCTCCTTAGTGATTTTGACTCTCCTATATTGAAGAGCTGAGGAAACTCAGTAGTAGTTTTTCTCGTTCGTTTAAGGATTTGCGAGCCGTAAAAAGTTAATGAAATTGAAATCCAAGCGCGACGTAAATGTGGATTTATGCATTAATGAGCATACTAAACGACGTCGGTCATAAAGGCTCTTACGAGCTCTTTCGTTAAAACGTTATTGTATATACATCGATGAATGCAACAGAGCAATTAACGGTCTATTTACGATCGTATATGTGTATATACGCTATTATTGGACCGAGCGTAGGAAGCTTTTGTTCTAAATGTTAAAAGTTTAACTCGCTGCGACACGACATCGCAATCGCGCGTTATCACGCGCGTATATGATTACGTTTACTCCGTGCCGGCGCGGGAAGTAATCTACTGAAAATTTCTATCGACGTCGCGAAAGGAATTGTTGATTCGAATTACTCTTGCTATTATTCGAAGACTTAACTAAGGATAAGATTATAAGTACATTGCCGCATACTTGAATTGAGACGATTATCAGCGTAGGTACTTCGTGCTTTTGCCTGTATCGTAAAAAATTTACATTTTATAATTGGAAGAGTGTCACCGTAATATGCACAGAAAGCCTCCAAAGTGATAACTATTTTAACCTGCACCCGAGAAACTAGAAATTTCGAGTAGCGCGTTGGAATTAATGATTCTTCTCACTATTGATTTCTTATTATTGCGGTATCCAATACAAATTAATGGAATTGTCATTGCAAAATGCACATAGTACCAGATAATTAATGCAAATTGCAATTCCGCTTCTTTTTGTCTCGTGCAATCGACATTCTACTTGGACCCACGGGGAATGCAATCAGTATCGCATGGCATTCCCGCTGCGCATAGAATTTGTCTTTTTATCGTGTTGCTTCTGCTTTAATGAAATTAAAGGGATTCATTACGCGTGCCTTTGTCAAAAAAAACAATGTTACAATGATATCCAAGTTTAATCAGAAATAGAGCTACGTCATCCACAACTCGAGAAAAAAATTGCTAAATATGCAAAAGCATAAATGAAATATTGTCTGTATTTGCGTAGTCCATTTTGTTATTTATTGTGACATGTATTTATATGATATTTATTGTGACATGATTTATTTATTGTGACATGATTTATATAATTTTATGGATATAAAATTACATTCAAGTAACTTATAAATTATCGATTTAAACAATTTTTACTATGAATTTATACATTTTATACATTTATACATTAATACACTATTTATCTAATTTAATAATAAGAATCAATTTTTAAGTGATATGATTTAAATAATATTATTTCCTGACACATCTGGAATCAATACATTAATAATGCATTATTATGCATTATTAATGCAGATGAGATTATAATAAAATATTTTAATATATTAATAATAAAAATAAATAAATTACGAGTTATAAACAAAAAATATTGAGGTATCATCTCTAATCGAATAATGATTCCTAATTCGTTTTTCTAAGGAAATCATCGATTATCAAACAAATCATCGAGGATGTCGTAAAGGACATATAGTTAGGAACGATAATCGCTTATAACAGATGACAAAATAAATTCCGGATTATAATAACGAAATAATTCGTGCAAAGCTATCAGAGAGCAGTTCACAGATCGCGATTTGACTTCACGACATATCACCATAAACTTTCACTAACATGTGCGTGACCCACATATTTTCAGATCAGCTTCTTTAAGCCGATCATCTTATGTGCAATCTTATGGACAGAGGCGTAAAATAGAAGATTTTATGTCTTATCTCAGACTCCAGTCAAATAATTGAAAATTTCATAAGACATCAAACTCTGTCAATAATTTTGACAAATTTAATATTAAATATTGGCTTTAATTAATCTTCATTATTTTTATCGGATTTGTAGCTAATATCGTATAACTTTCTTCAAAGAGGCTTTATTTCTTTTTGCGAAATCGACATCGAAAGCTGATTTTTATGTGATTTCATATAAATGTAAATTGTATACAGATTTAATAGTATGTACATTCCTCATTTGCAAACTGTAAAATGTATTATGTGCCGTGCATCGCAAATTTTTCACGACGTGATAAAATATATTTCCACATCGTAAATATCAGTGATCTCGCATTTTGTGCTGACATTGTCGTTTCTTGCCGTATGCGCTACGTATAGAATAGTAAATGTATTTTGCGTATCTCATTCACATGAAATAAATGATAATGCATAAAGAAAAAATTAAAATTCATATTACGATCGACGATCTCGCTCAGCACTTCTTCGGATGATAAAAAAAAATCGCTTCGCGGATTTAAGTGGCACTTATAGAGGATCGTATATTTTTATCTCGTATAATTATGACATTGCGCGTTATCAAGGTCCATACTATGCGCTTTCAAACGGTACTCTTCCTGCACGAACTTGGCCTTGACACTCATTGATAAAGAGACAGTCTCAATTATCCAATGAGACGGTATGTAGGTCAGTTACATGTAGCGTGCAATGATCGGCGACGGTCGCTTCATTTGCAAAAGAATGATAGTGTAACCTTGAACCTGCTTGTTGGTTATTGAACTTACAAGGTTTAAGGGAAGAAACTTTGTACTCGCAAACTTTGTACATAAAAATCGCGCGTACCAAAATTCATCTCTCGAATTATTGCAAAATCGTGTCCCTAACACGAATCACTTCATTTATGACAGAAGCAAAATACAAAATTTTTTAAAAATTATTAATTTAAAATTATATTTTCTGATTTATGTTTCTTTACGAAGAATAAAAGAATTTGTGCATTCTTACCTATCCAGGAGCCGAGTTCGCGATCCACATACAAGGTACTGTTATTCTTTTCTGATAATTGCGGCAACAACACAGCGCTGTAACCAATTGGCATACCGCCTCCCGTCGCCAACAATAATACTGCACCTGTTACTAAACACTACAAACAATTGAATCGTTAATAATTTCGCTAATTGTATTTGCCACGATTGTTACACGATGCTGTAACTTCGAAGTATTTTATCCAATACAACAGTGAATTAATGAAGAAATGTATGAATATGATCGTAACATTATTCTGGTCTATATTTCAAAGTCAATTGTCACTAAATACAATTGTAAATTGAAGTATCTGACATATATATCGATCATAAACAGTCATTAAATGATCGATGTATGTAAGTTGGACATGTGTAAGTTTCACCGCGGTGAAAGTTTTGCCGCGGTGAAAGATTAAGATTCCCTGGAATATGTACTTTTGTTCAGTTCTTTCGCAGAAGAACCGAAGTTGCAACAAGGAACTTTGGAACAGTTCCCAAACGGATACATCCTAGTTTTATACAAAAGCAAGCCTGGACTAATCGAAAAGAGGATAAGAAATGTGTGGTTGACAACTAGCCAAGATTTATTACCGCTTCACTGCTTTCTTTCTATAAAACTTAAACCGCTATTATATCGCAATGGAATTTGTCTCGTTTCTGCAATTATTCTGTAGATACTGACGTAAAAACTGCTGGAAGATATTTATGCACCGTGCGATGTCCAAGGTAAAATACGCGTTAGCGGAATTCTCTCGCTGCTCGAGGTATACCTTGCGAAAAGCAACAAATAACGCGCGCGTTGTAGGCAAAAAATATACGCAAATGTATGAACAGAGTTTTCACTAAGAAAAGTTTTCACAATTTTACTTATTCCAACGCAGCGCAATTTCCATATTATAGAGACTCTGAGGAGACATAATGTATATTTTACTGAAGAGACATAATATATATTTTGCAGTGATCGTATCTGAAGTTTATTTAAAATTTTGTTTTGTTAATATTAATACATTTGTATGCATGTACATTTCGCATTTTTTAAAAATAACATTTATATTGTCGTAGATGATGCGCCACGTTGTATTTTTTCCCCGAGATGAAACGAGCAGATGAAACAAGAAGAAATAGCACGGGTGATGAAAAATGGTAGGTGTGTACCATGTTTGGTACCTTTCTATCTATTTTTAAACAGAAAAATGTTCTGGCACTAATCCAGAATATCTCCGTTGATCTCGCATCGTTGAACACACAGTGCATCTCCGCTACGTTGTAAATTTCCTTTTGCGCCAAAGTTAACAATTTACATGTAACTGATAGGAAACAAAAAATATAAAATTTGTTACACACGAGCTTTTGCCACAATAGTTTCTGGTATGTCGAAAAATTTTCGATTTTCATAGTTATCGCTATACGATTTAATGTCATGATTTAATATTAGAATAATATTATAAAAAGCGTATAAAAAAAATTATAAAGTATAAGTATATAATATCATATATTTATGTTATATTGTAAATTACATATCTCACCTGTGCAATCACTCCTTTTCGATTCGGCAAATATCGCACAGCTGTTTCCTTCTTATCCGAACTGTCTTTTCCACTCTTAACATTATTATTATTATTGTTATTATTCTCGACGTCTATTTTATTACAGTTCAGTGTATTGTAGCCTATCATAGCATGTTCTTCCTCGCTGTAATATGACGATTTTAGAAAATAAAAGTTCTTTAATTTGTACCGATATAGAAATTTATTACAGAATTTATTACAGAATTTATATATTACCTCAAATCGAGAGCCATATTGATTCAATTGAATTTGCTGAAATTCTTAAATATTTCCAGTTTATTGCGAGAAATAGATGTCTGGAGTGTCATCTATCACCAACAAGTTCTAGTCACGTTTGGCATCGCAAACGTACTGCGATCCCTGTTTCCCATTATGTAATCCAAGAGACTCTAATAATTTTAAATCCGTCTTCTCTCTAAGAAAACATAAGACTATCTTATGAACAGAACAAACTTAATTCTTAGGATCGTTACGTATTACGTACGCAAACCTGTTTTGAGATAAATGACGGTAGTTTTTTTTTAAGCACAACGCAAAAAATTTGTTATAATTATTGAATGATGTATGAATCGTATCTTAATTTAAAATGGAAAGACATATGAAAGAAAAGCACATCACTTTCATGTTTTCTTAAATTAAAATTACAATTTATGATAATTTCAAAATAGGAAATTAATGTAAAGTATATTCTCAACATCATTTGTGCTTAAGTATGCACTGACATAAATTTTAATAAAAACAATAATTTAAAATGGCACATAGAGATAGATAGAAAAAAGATTATTTATCTGCGTTCAGTGCTGATATTTATCTGTTATTGATCCTTCAGTTGATTTATATCATATTCATTTATGATATATTTATATGTAAAATCTATTTTTCAAGTCTTTTAGTTATTATACGCTTGCTCACATTTTCAATTTTTTTTTTCAACTTTGCAGAAAAGTATAAAAGCACGTTAAAATTTTCTGGTTTCAGAGTTCTTTAAGGCTTTAGGCTTAATATTACGTAATTGTAAAAACATAATTAAAATAGCAAATTAGAGGAATACTCGTATTCCTCTAATATAGGTCTCTAAGTAATCTTACATACATGAATCAGCAGTTTACATTCTGAATCAGTATATTATCATGTTATCATTTTTTTTACTGACATATTATATTACATATTCGATTCGTACCACTTGATCATTACGACTAGCTATTTGATAAGATTAATAACGCTCGATTTAATTACTTTATAACTTTTTTTTATCAAAATCATATGAAATAAATATTTATTTATATTTTTTTATTTTATTTATTGCAATAAGTGGAATTAAAAATTAATTAATTTTTCTTTTAATTTCTTTTATATTATTATTTTATATTATTATTTATTAGCAATTAACATATTATAATGTTAGCAATTTAAACAACATCATAGTATACTTCGTGAATTTCGCTTTTTTCATTCTTTTTTTCAATATTTACATACTATATCCATTTTGTTGCTGTGGAAAATACTACATCCCTCTCGGAACAATTAAATGCATTGTAATCAAACACATTTCAATATTTTAAACTCACAGTAATTTTAAGTCTTCGCAATTACGTGGCAC